GCTGCCGCCGTCGTCGTTGCCGCCGCCGCCGCCAACGCCGCCGCCGCTCTTTCGTACTTCGAGTTCAGTTCGAGTCGCGAAGTCGAGCTATTTGGATTATTGACGCGTACGTCGCTTCTTCGATTCAATCAACCATGAGTACCAAGGAAAATAACGAGGTCGCCGTCGAGAAGGTGACAGAGAATGACAAGGCATCCGCGGACGCGAAATGCGATATCAAGGGAATTAAGAGGCCAGCTGAGGTGAGTACCGCTTCCTTACCATCAACCTATTCCGACCGTACTCACGATTCTTACCGCTCATGGCATTCGACGACGTTTTGATCTTGTGACGTTCGTACTCGGTGACGGGGATTCGTATTCGGCGTTCTACGCTCATCGTCGCGATATGCGTCATCCGGAATTAGGAGTAGCAACAAGATGAATAATACGAGCTCGCGCGTTTGATCGTGGAACGCGCCACGCCACGCCACGCCACTCCGTCGGATCTGTCGGGGGACATTGAATCGCATCGACGCGCTGTGAGATTGACCATTGCTGGCTGCCGCTGCGCCGCGCCGCGCCGCGCCGCGCCGCGGCGGCGGTAGCCCGTGACCGCCGCCGATACGGATTTTCCCGCCTGCTCGGCGTCTTCTACGCATCGCCGTGGACCGATCGTGGGCCGTCACCACCGCACGAAGCGTGTGGCGAACCGTGCTCCATGTAGCCCGCTGTAGCCCGCGCCGCCGAGCGACGGCACAGCGTAGTGAGAAGAACGCCGCGCCGGCCGGCATTTCTTCGGCGCGGCAGACTCCATATTTCCGTGCGAGCGACTCCGAGCGTAGTCGAGCACGCTCGATCGGACGCGTGGCGTGCAGGCTATGTATTTCTCTCGACGCGTAGTGCTTTCTCATCACGGACGCGTAGGGACGCTATTGTGTTTTGTGAGACCACCGCGAACGCGACGAGTCTCTCTCTCTCTTCCTCTTTTTTCGTCTTCGCTCGCTCACTCGCTCGCTTGTTCTCGCCCGATGGCTGACGATGATGATAATGACGATGGCGATGACGACTCCTACCGGAATAAGCTATAATTACCGCGTTCCGCGCTCCAAATCGTAAAATTCGAAGCAACGTTGGAAATTTTCACGCGTTCGCGCGCGCGTGAAAAGAAACGAATAGGTGAGAGCGTATTTAGCGTTAGGGAAACGGAGATAGGTAGAAGAGAGAGAGAGGGAACAATTGGAGAAACGAAGCAAATCTCTACGGCGCCATGTGCTAGTTTCTCGTGTTGGTCTTTTTTTTTTTCCCCCCCATTCGGCGAGATTTCGTCTCCTCGCGGCTTTTCGTCTTCATGCGCCCTCTACCAACGAATGCGCACACCACCGCCGCTTTTGCATCTCGCTGCTTCGTGCTCGGCATGCTTCGCTACCCAAGCATCATTTTCACGTAGTAGGTAGTGGTCAGCGTCGAGAAATTCGGAAAAACGGATATCCCGCGCATTTTCTTCATCTCCCTGGCCTGACGGCCGTCCACCATTGTCGTACTATCATCGCCACCCGTCGTTTATCGCTTTCCATCATGGCGGCCAAAACCAAGCCTGCGTTCATCATTCGTTCTCTCTCTTTCTCTGACAAGCTTATGCGTTCTCTTTCTACCGTAATTGATCGATAATTCGCTATAAAAGAGTCAACGTCGAATACAATCGATAGACGACCGACGCGTCTATCTACTACAGGTCGACACGTCGCCCTGAAATTGTTTACCAATTCGCGCAAATAAATTCCACGACGAAGGCTTCCTTTTCTCTCGCTCCGATTGTACGAGCATTTTCCTTCCCTATCCATCTATCTATCTATCCATCTCTCTTCCTCTCGCGCTCCATTGCTCGACACTGCCGATGTATAGCCGGCACCAGCGAGTAGCGACAGCGGCTCGCTCCGTCCTTCTCTTTCGATCTTTTCGCCGAAGGTACCCCACTTGCGCAGCTAGCGGCAACGCCGTGCATTATATACTCGGTGTGTGCTCTCCTACCTCCTTGTTCTTTTCGCGGCTGCGGCGGTCGCGCGCAACGGCGCGTTACTACGAACCTTCGAGAAAACATCGTTGCCGCAATTTTTCATCTTAAATCGTCGCCCGTCGCGTCGTCGGCCGTGTCGCCGCGATAGGCCGTATTTTTAGCCGATAATTTACTATGAGATTGCGTCTCCGCGTAAGACAAAATGAACGAACGGAGCGAATGAATGCCAAACGGCGGAAATTCAGAGGAGCGGTTGCCGTAGATTTTTCCGCTGCCGCGTCAATCACGTGGAGAGGTACAAGTGCTACACTTATGCACGTTCACGCAGGTCGATGTGTTCTTGTTACATCGGTGATTCCTCCCGAGTATATTAGATCGCGAACGCGCGCGCGCGCGCGCAAATGACCAAGGAAAGGCCAGTAGAAAGGTGGACGATTTTCGAGCGTTTTTTCCCTAATATATACATATATATATATATATATGTGTGTGTGTGTGTGTGTGTGTGTGTGTGTGTGTGTGTGTGTGTATTTAGAACACCCTTTTCATATACATATGTGCGCACATATACATACGCATATAAAATGTGACAAAAAATACGCTTACATCTACACACACGCGCGCGCGCGCGTGTTGAGATTAGTATCGCTCCGGAACCGGCGAGCGGGAAAAGGCGGGAAGCTCGAGGCCGAGGGAGAAGAGTTGAATGAAATCGCGTTTGTATGCTGTGAG